GAAATCGAATTCGGGGAACACTTTCGTTCTGGGCCCTAAAATTAGCTCGAAACGTTTGCGTAAAACGTCCCTCACGACTAATCCTTAATGCACGGATCGCATGACGTCGAAATTTCGAGCCATGACGCGTCGTTCGTTGTCCGAAAAATCGGTCCCCGAATATGATACCGTGGAAGACGCGGACCGCGCATAAATAACGAGAAATCGAATAAATGCATAGAGCAATAAATACTCGGTTGAATAATCGCTGGATGTTTTGTAGGATTTCTTTCCGCTTATCGGGTGAATCGGTACACGGGAGCACGTCAGACTCGGCCGAGAAGCTGGAGAGGAAAGCGTTCGCGTCTCGTAAATGGCCGATCTACACGACACGTCGCGCGTGTCATTGGCAGTGAAAAACATTTATGGAAACGTGCTTCACCTTTTACGAGTGAAGCCACCGATTACTTAATCCCTTCGGGGAGAACACTAAGGGGGAAAAAATCACGGGCTGAATGGCCTGGGTCAATGCCAGCGTTCTTTCTTTGCTTAGGGAAACGCTGGATCGATCGTTTCAGTTCTCGTTTCTATCGAACCTCCTCTCTCTCTCCAAAAGTAATCCTATTACGAATTAACCTGATCAACGATAATAATTGTCATCGGCGGAATAAACTTGGTCGATCGATAAATTAAATCGGCGAAAATTTCTAGAGTCTCCCGAACTCGGTCTCGTCCTTATTCGGCGTTACAAACGAGAAGAACGAAAAAAAGAAAGTGTGCGGTAGACGGAGATCCTTGAACCTGACCCACTTCTCGGAGGAAACAGAGGTTTTCGAAGAAGGTTGCTCATGAATAGAGGGTCACGAAAACTCGAACACGGAAGAAGGAAGTCGCGAGCGAAGAAGGACCAAGGGAACGTCCGCTAACAGGTGAAAAATAAAAAGGACTCGACGCAGGGACACAACGGAATGATAAATTCTCGTTCACGCGTGTTTTTTTGCCCGACCTCAAACCTGCCTACTTCAACGTTTCGATCCTAATCGACGATCTTACGTCGCGGATGCAAAATCACAACCGGTTTCGAACACCGAACAGAGAAGCTTTACGAACTGTTTACACACGGCGTGCGTCAGCTCCTGGCCCGTCTTTTCTGCCCATTTTTTTTTCTTTTATCCTGCACCGGTCAAAAAGGTCTGTCTGTTCGTTGTATTATTTCGCGATAAATTCTCTTTCGCGCCGATGAAATCACCTTCCGGATCTGCGCCCGTCCGGCACCGTCAATCGCGAATCCGCCAGACGAATCGATAGTCGGTCTTTTCATATTTTTTAAATTTTGCAAATCTTTCGCCTTGGTCTTTGATTTATCATAATATCATAGATTAACACGGAATCGCTGAAATTCCGAAATGTTCTTCGCGTTTCGTAACGATTAAATCGTAAAGGTGCATAATGTTTTTCTTAGTCAGATTTATAAAAAGAACATTGCACGTCTGTGACTAGCATTTCGGCATCTATTTATAAGAGCTGTTTAAACATTGAGATGGTTCTTTTTAAATGTAAACCCGAAAACGTAAGAGCGAGAATAAATAAAGAAAGAAAAGGAACATATTTGAGTTAATAGAATTACTGAACATTTAAAGTTCGAAAATTTCTCAATTAGCCAGCGTTATTTGAAAGGCTCGATCCATAGAAATATTCGGGAGGCCACAGCAAACAGCAACCCCCGGTTCTCGCACCCTCGAATCGAAACGAAACACAATTCATCGAAAATTGAAAAAAAAAAGTCTACGTCGTATTGTCCAGCAGCGTCGTACGGTTCTGTTATTTCAATATCTGCGAATGGCCGCGCTATCGAACATTAAGTGCCAATATTTGCACGCTGCTTGGCCGAACGTTTGCTCGATGGCCGAACGTTTTTGGGGAAAGGTCGAGTGAGGTGCATAATTACGACATTTTAGTCATCGACGTTCCGCGATTAAGTAACACGGAAATGTATCGCGAACGCAGGTTCGATTAAAAAAAATCAGCAAAGTCGCGTAACGAGTACGAGGTTAAAAAGAAATAAATCGACGGGTTGACTCGAATTGAAGTAGTCGGACGATATCGAGAATAGAATGCAAAGTAGATAACTCACCCTTCTGCAGCTGGCTGTGGTCCGCGTTCATTTTCGCCTGCAACAGAAAGTGCTGCGCTTCACTAAGTAGAATTAGCACAGGGACCGTGAAAATTCCGGCCATTCTGTTGAAATATGTGCAAGCGGTTGGCTCACCTCGTAACCTTGTTTCGCACCCCGTCCACCGCCCCAGTAGTCGCTCTCCTTGTCGTGGGGATTGCATTGCTGTAACATACAGAATGGGGTACCGTTACTCTCAAAATCTATATTTTAATCTGCTTAAAGTTACTCGCCTTTTATACATTTTCTACACGTACAGTAAATTATTTGTTTCGTTAAAAAAAAACAACGATCGAATTTTCGTACATTGCGGAGTTCTCTTGACCGCGATACTACGTCGTAAAAGGTACGCTACTACGTTGTAAATGATGGGAAAAGGCGGGCGAAATTAATCGATTTCCAAAAAACAATAGGGAGGTAAATAAATAATTGATTTAGCATTATACAGCGAGGGTTGTAGGTGAGAAGCAAACGGTTGGCGAGGTGATGGAGTGTGATACGTCGGAAAGCAGTGGAGGGTTGGGGGTGGTTGAGAGGGGTCGAGGATGGCGACGGGGGTGAAAAGCATCGTCTATAGTCTAGACACAACACAGACGAGGGTGGTTGAGGCCTGGCCTACGACCTTGGGCATCACTCGGCCTTCAACGGAGATAAACAATCCACCCCTCGATCCTTGCTTTTCCTACACATTTTGTTACGTGCGGGAGGTGGAAAAATTTCCTGACCACGATACAGAACTCTCCGAGATTTTTTTCATGGCATCGATGTCGTAAAAATAAGAATTTAGAATATTGATCAACCTTCGTCGGACGAATACAACGTTATAAAAACTTTGCTAAGTCCACATCAACCGTGTGGAGATTGTAAAAAGAAAATTTCTGAAATTCTACAAAATTTGTTCCCTATAAATCGTTCGTCTCGCTAATTGTCCGGAGAGAATTCATCACAGTCCTCGACCATATTCCCATAACGCGAAACGTGTCCACCCTCGATCCTGAACGGCCCGGGATGGTTTAAACAGCGACTCGAATATATGTGTGTCAGAGCCACAGGACGCCGAGAATGTTAGGGACATTAAGGGATGACCTCGTTTCCCTTCTCATGACCTCGTAAACCGCAGACGACCCCATGCCTCCCTCCGTCGTACCAAGAACCTTGTGTGTGGTCGCGTATTTTTCTTCGAGGATTCGTAACCTGCGTCGTAGAAAAGCCCGAAACGATCCAATTTTTTGCGCGTTAAATCGTTACGCGTAGTAATTAACGTTTTATACGTTTCATAACTTTGGCGATTCGGATAACGAAATATCTGGAAGTTTACTTTTATAAAGGATCGATAAGGCGAAGTAGTTTGATGGGGTCGAATTTTACGTTCGAGTAAAATCGAGGATGGTAGAATGAAGCTGGAAAGTGGGTTAAGGGACACCATAAGGCGTCGAAAGGGCGATGCTTTGGTTCGTTCGCTCTACAGGTGGCTCGTGAAACGATTCGATTCTTGTGAGAAAGTCCGAGACCGCGAAGGGATATGCATTTTTGGAGCGAGGATGGTCAACGTGCCCTACGACGACGAAGAAAACCCCTTACCCTCTTCCGAACGCCGGAGAAAATCCCTTCGGATATTGCGACGCGACTCCACGATGTTTTTATTGAAACAAAATCTTCACCGTGGTATTTTCTTTATCCCGTTTTCGCTTCGCGATCCGAAGATATTCGATGCTGTTTAACAAGAAAGAGACGAACTTATCTTACTACCGTTTTCTTTCTTTCTATCAAAATAAAATTTCTATCTTCCGTACCAAAGATAGCGAAATTATTCTCCTTCTAAGAAAGAAATTAATCGAACTTCTTTATTTTTATAGGAAAATTTATTTTTACACGGAGAAGTAAGTGGTCATGGAATCAGGGGTGAGAAAGTTTGTGAGAGAAAAAGCCTTGAGTATTTCCAAGCACCGCCGGAAGTTAGCACTATGATCTATTTCTATTTTAAAATCGGAAACCAGGAGAGACAGCAAGGTGGAGGATCTCGCGCAGGGGAAGGAATCGTTCTCGAACAGGAAGAGATCGGATCATCCCTTAAATCTACTTCGTCTGCTGGCAGATGGTATCGAGATCGGTCACGTGACACTTAAAATTGGATCCCCTAATGAGACGAACGAATAATTGAAGAGCTTCGATCCCAGGATGATGCCTGGAGACCGTCCTAATGTCATCCTTTGACATTTCTATGACATTTCCTGCAAGGGTTGTCTGTTACCTCCCCTTCTCGTCTCTCCTTCTAATTTTAATAGGTCGATAGACAAAAGCCGACCGTTCTTCTTCCTTCGCGTTTCGTATAAATAATAAATTTTTGCCGATATCGAGAATTAGTTAAAATAGTTGAAATTGTATATTCTTTCGTTGGTGGAAGCGAAACGACATTTAAGACGAAGACAATCAATTAACCCTGTTTTACTGATCGGAACACCTGCATCTAGCGTGCACCCTCGGTGGACACGAAACAGCCCTTCAAAAATCCAACTCGATAATTTCCATCGAGCCGGAAACTCGACGGGGTGGTTCGAGCCGATCCAGCCCTTACGCCCAAGCGAAACGGGGTGGAACAGGGACGGAGGATGGAAATAGGCGAAAAGGAGGGAAAAAATGGAAATACGTGCTCCACGATCCCCGGATTGGTAATCCAACCTACCACGAGCAGCTCGAAGGGAAGATAAAGAAGGTAAAAAAAAAATACATTTTAGCTCGCATCCAGGCGCTGCAGCCAACCCCCTCGCAACTACCCTTCGTTCTCATCCCTCTCTCTGTTCCGTACACGTTGGTAGTAGGTGGTCGGTTCTTCTGATTATAGATTTATAGCGGAATTACAGTCGTAAGTCTCGTGTATTTTTTGGCGCTTATATTCTCCTGAAATTATGTGAGAATGACTTTGGCAAACCGCCAATGTTCCCCGGACTGTGCGGAGACAACATGTACGGAGCAATGAACTTTAGGAAGCGTGACTTCGGACAAGATTTCCTCTTTTCTTTCCGACGAATTTTTAGTTGTAAAATTTCTACACAATGCAATTGTCCCATTTCTTGATTCACGACCGTTTCCATGGACCATTCATCGTTGTATCTGAAGCGTGTAGATAGCCTCTGCGTTTCCGTTCGTCGCATGGGAGATGCAGGAAGAGCTACTCCTTTCTACTCCCTTTAGATCATTGTTTCCTAATCCAAGGTACTAACTGTACGTTCAACGAACGCTTACGGAATTACGAAGTAGAAATTAAATATTTTGCTTGACCACAGGCTGCCGGGGACCGTATTCTTGCAAAGGAAGCCACAAACCGCCTTTGACCATAATGCTCTTAGCACAAGGCGTAAAAGACGGAGTATTCCCGACAGTGGACTTAAAACATTCCTAACATTGGTCGTGGTTACGAATCTGTACTTAATTTTACACAGAGCGTGCGATCTCTTTTTTGTAATTAGGGACGGGTTAACCATTAGGGTATTGAGGGGAGAAGGCACCACAGAAATTTGTCATTACCCGATTTACCGCACGGTGCAGGTGAGCCACGTTTTTCACTTAGATTTATTGGGGGATTATCATTCCACGATAAACGACTAAATTGCATATATATTTGAGATGTTTAACATTCGTTGAATTTTAAATTTCTTTTTTGTAAAATTTGTTATTCGATCATGTATCGTACTGAATTTTCTGGGTACATAAATTGGATACAGTATATAATAGTTTTCGATTTTTAATTTGTGTAGTTGGGTATCGTTAATATTATAATATAGACAATATTAATATACCACTATGATCGGATTAACGGAAACTGAACAAATTTTCCAGCGAACGTCATCCAAAGCTACAGTGTCCTTTGAATGCAATCAACCGCACTGTCATGCCTTCATGCATCACACCCACATTCGCGTCAAGGTTAGTTGATTCTGAATAACTACCACATTTATCTTACATATTCGTACAATCAGATACGTATCCACGTACAGATACAATCTCGAGACTAACTTCGTTCAAAGTAATTTTCTTTGAGTAAGAATAATCTGTCGTTGACGCGTGGCTCGGAGCTTTCGTCGGCCGGAGTTAGGGCGCTGCCTAGGCTGCAGGTTAGGGTTGTAGTCGAGAGGAGCTATGGAGGTTTGGGGTTAGCGGGATGGTGGTAGTGACGGTGGTGGTGGTGGCGATGGTGGTGGTGGCGGTGGTGGTGGTCGGAGAAGAGAGACAGAATACGATCGAAGAAGAGCAAGAAAGGCGTACGAAAAAGAAGAGAAAAGAGACAGAGAAGGAGGGCGCTCCGGGCGTACTGGGCTACGGGGGTGTAGCAGGGGGTGAAACGACCGTCCGAGGGGTGGTAGGAGGGAAAAAAGATGTAAAAAAATCGAGGAGCCGAGGAAACGGGAGGAAAAAATCGGCCAGTCTCAGGGAAGGAGAAACGTGGATGGGGAACGAGGGGTGGAAAGATAGAAACGGGGGTGGTTGCGAGGATCGAATCAGCGGAAACTTCTGAAAGTATAGCGTGACGTACGCCAAGACGCGCATCGAGAAGAGTAGCTAATTGAAAAGACTCAAATTTTCATCCTCCGTTCATCCTCGCGATTAAATACGATTAACAGTCAACAGATACGCGAATCGCTTCGATTTCATTTTTCGATTAATTTTCGAATACCTATTATCGGATTTTGCTCGATGACCCACAAAACGTCCGGCGAATTTTTCGCTCCGACTCCTTAATTCCCGCGATCGCAATTATATATGTTTTAATTTATAATCAAATTCTATCGCGTTTCTCTCTGTATTTCACAACCGACTTGTTACAGTACTTATAAATGTGCAAGAGATAAGGAAAACTAATTTGAATGTACGGCAGAAAATTGATATGTTGCTTTAAAGATATACGAATGCATAGGTGATTAAAGCAGATCAATTGAAACGTTACATTTTATGAATTTCTTTTTATCGGAATATGAATTACATACATATTAATCAAGGTACTATATTCATTATAAAACCAAAGCTTATAGTATAGGACCATTTTAAAAAACCTTCGAATAAAATCAAGACGAAGAACATAATATGGAGCAGTTTAGACGGGCTACCCTTTACCAGCACGACTCTCATAAACCCTTACCATTCGAAGAATATCATCGCGCGCTTGCTAGTCAATGTCGAATAAATTATATAAATTTTAACGCGTAACAAAATTGTTAATTTGTACGAGTTAATTGCTCATCAGGAAACGTACGTAAAAGCGTTAGAAAAATTGCTTTAGCAAGCACTGCAGTTAATCGGAGCGATAAAAATTAATCCCTTTTCGCATTCCCAAATTCAGTTCCATAAATTCTTTCCTACAACCGTTGTTTAATTCGAGTAGCTGTCTACGAAATTTACAAAGCTTGACGAGATAATTTTTTGAAACGATTACATCGACGCGTAAAGTATGTCTAATTCGAAAATGCAGTCGCGTTTTAAGGGGTGGAAGAGTAATCGGCAATTAACCGAAAAATGATTTCCAGCAGAAATTCGAGGTGGAATCGAACGATTCGGAAAGAAGAGTAATCTCACGCGTCCACGGTGTCCGGCCGGAGATACTCGAGAGGGACGAAGAAGACACAGAGGGGTTTGGAAAGGGTCGAGTAACAGGGGAGGTGGTGGAAGAGTCGCAAAAAGAAGAGACGGTTGCAGGGGGGTTGGACGAAGAAAGGAGGAAGACGAACGCGGCGAGAACCGAACGAAGACAGAGAGAAACGCTAGGAAAGTGGGTGGTCGTGGGAGAAAGGGAGAAAAAAAAGTCGAGGGTGAAAAGAGAAAGAAAGAAAGAGCCCACACCGTGCACATGCGTGACCGTCCGTTCGCGTACGAGGCGGCGTGTATTGATCAGCCAAAGAGCGCCACGACGCCGGGCGTCCTTTCTGCGAGCCTTGCTTTTTTCGGCACGACGGCCGATGGTGGAGGAGCTAGATGCTGGCGGACGAAGAGGGGTGAGATTCGTCGTGGAACGCGTCGCCTACGGCCAACGGGGGAGAACGGGCTTGCTACAACGACTCGCGACCTAACCCAACCGGATACCACCTTGTGACGTCACCCTACCTTTCATTATCTACCATTATTTGCCACCCTCTTTCTTGCTCTTCTCGATACCCTCCCCTTCTGTTTTCTTTCTGTTCTCTGCTTTTTCTCCACCGAGAGTAGCCGCGGTTTCTTCCAGTCGAATTTTCTTACCGATGGCAATTCGATCGGGGTTAAGGGGTTACGAGGGACAAATACTCGCGTTAAAGTTGCAAGGATAAAGACGAAACTAATGATTCTCGATTTAGAGGTTTGTTTTATAAATCACATTTTATTAGAATTACGATGACCACCGTTGAAAAGGATCAGTCGGTGAAAAGGCCGTTTCGAGCAGAGAAAATAAGAACAAAAAAGTGATAGATGGACCATAACTCCGTGAACCCTTATCAAAGCACCCTTATTGTCCTTTTACCTGTCATAAATTATGTTTGATTCTCGAATTATTTGTACGTGGGCCACATGTTTTTCTTTCGTGTTTCGTCGAAGCCAATTAAGTCCGAGATATCCATCGATAAAATTTCGTAAAAAGAATGTGCGGTAATCGGTTTAACGAAATTATTACAATCGTCACGGTGAGGACGATTTAAAACAGCCGGCAGTAAGAAAAAGAAAAATCTTGGAAGGAATATTTTCCCTGCTAAATACCGGAAATTACGTTCCATAGAGAACGAGCTATTTCCTTTAATTTTCTCCACCCCGTACTTTTCCTTCCCCGTCTTGTGATTTTTATTGTTTCACCGCGAAACCAAAGAGAAGTGGACCGTGAAAGCGCACGAAAAAGAGAAAACTTTCAAAGTTTCTTCGCGAGAGCTGCTTCGCAGATTTAATTTCGTTAAAGACTCGCCAAGAAAAAGAATATGATAACCACCACCTTTTCTCCTATTTCCGCTATCTTTTTATTTACTTATATATTTATTCATTCATTTCCCCTCCTTCCTCCGCCGCTACAACGTTTCCTTCGTTAACGCCAAGTAAATGGTTAATCCCGCGTTTCTACCCGCTGCTGGGATTAAATGGAAACAGTTTAATCTACGATACTTAATTGTTCACCGTGCACCATGCAAACTGCTGCTTTTATTTCCAACAATTCAACACGCGTTGTCCTTTTTCAAACGATTCTTCGATCAATTTGCGAATTAACACTTTCGATAAGTCAATTTGCAGTTAATCTCTCTGTATATTTTAGATTATTTAATGTTCCTACCAATATTTGGAGAGTTACAAACGCGGATTCGATTCAGGATAGAAACACAAAGGAAAATTGTAATCACCCCTTAAAAGTTGATGACTCGTGTTTTCTCAGGGACCGAGAGCTTTAGATTTTTATTCGAATTTTTCTTATTCAGGTTGATCCACGTCACGATTCAACGTGCATCGATCGGGACCGATGCTTCGAATCGCCAAAGTAGGCTACGTCGTTCAATTCCTGTCAATCTTTCACGGTTAGCGCCGCCATCTTCAACAACCCTTTCCACCCTCGAGAACGTTATCAAACTTTCAAAAAGATTTTCATAATGGTATCTCGTGGTCAATGCTCATAAAGGATCATCTATTACGTTCGATTCCTTTCAGTTGTCTCTCCTAACAATCGGGGGATGTTTTCCACTTACAAAGAAGTATAAATGTTACATCGACAACTTCATATTTTTTCCAAGATAACTCTTACGATTTCATATTATTTTCTACGTTGATAAATGAATTCTTAGCGTCCTCGTTGTCATGCAAGCGAGTAGTCATAAATTTAACCCTTAGTTACACGAGCTCCTCCGTATCAGTGTTACATAAGGAAAGTTGAAATATTAAAGAATTGCCGGTGAAAAAAGAGGCGATCTATTTATAAAGAACCTCAAGCTCCGTTTTCACACCAGCAGCATCGCTCTGGTCTTGCCGCATCTCGCCAGCTGATGGGTCGATTCGATGTTTGGAGAGGACTACTTAATTCTTAATGCCTCTGAAGAGCCTCCTCTTCTGTTTAACTTGTTTAGAGAAGAAGCAAAACCGGACGAAGCGTTTCAGAATCCTCCTTGGATCTCTGAGCCACTAGCAGCGAACGCTAACTCGATATTAATTCGATAGCGTTATTATTTTCTTGTTATTTCTACAGCAAATAGACGAGCCTCGTTAAGTCGACGATTCAACGCGATAATTATTTAGCAAGAAAATACGAATGGAAGAATTTTGGAGCATTAACGGTGCTTCGGTGAAAAGCTTTCTGGGCGCCAGTGTGAACGCGACGTTAGAAAACTGACCCAAAAACCTGATCTGCTTGGTCGTCATTTTAACGAGTTATAGTCGAGGCAGCCCCAGCACTAATGACACAAGTCAGAGGCGACGATCCGGTGGGTCTCGACGGACCATCGATTCTCGGAAAGAGACGAGATCGAACACAACGAACAGGCATCGCGTCGGGTTTCCTTGACAAAACTGAAACTGCGATCGACGAAGCACCGTCTTCGACATTGGCTCGGTTCAAGGGACCTGATAAATTGCTGCCAGCTGGCAAAACTATACTTCTTCAAGGGTTACGTCAGGGTACACGTGGCTACGAACGAACGGGTACGGGACCTGTCCCACAACTCTGCTCAACGCACCTTTTGCTCTTCTGCTTCGAACTTCGAAGCCGCGCTACCGGTTTTCCCGATCGACCATGAAATTTATCTGGCGTTGAACCATCGGATAGCTTTATTAAACACGCGTATACATGACAAGTGCAATTTTGTATCACTTTAACAAACGAGTAGTAAACCCACGCCTATTCTGAACTTCACCGCTGCGCGGAGGTTAAAAATGATTCCCAAGATTTTATCTGAAAAAATACGAGCGAATTTAAGTACGCGGTTTCATCCCCTTCCACGTACGCAGGGGTAGTTAAGAAGAGAAGATTGATAGAACGGCGTCGTGCTTGCCAGAAGAATGAATCAAACAAATGGCACACGAGGAATAATAGAAACTATGAATAATCGAGGCAGTAAATAATCGAACTCCTTTCACGGAATAAACCACGATACCAAACATCGAAACATTCAATCTTCATCTATCCGATTAACCTCCCTGGACGAGACACTTTGACGTA